GGGTGAAAACAAAATTGAAATGTATGCAATGTAGTGACTTACCATCACCTGAAAAAGAATCAGCGCTGAGGGGGACTGAACACAATGAGCACTGTCCTTTATCTTGTTCAGATGGGTAGCATGAACTTCTTGTTATAGTAGGTTCCCACCAGTATGTTTGCCCAATATGGCCCATGTGTTTTATAGTAATACTTTAGTATTGACTGCATTTAATCAACTTCATAGTTAGTTTCCATTACTATGCACATGCTGCTTTTAGCAGCACATTAATGAAAGACAGTGTGTATAACGAGGTTTTCTTATAAGTGACTGTAAGGTGAGGTTTTTTTCCCCATGCTGATGGGGAGGGGGCTCGTCTTATATTTGAGTAAATATGACATTTATTTGTATTCATCGCTCTGAAATAGATCAATTATGACTTTTTGTAGACACAGGCTCTCATGTGTTAAGTAACAGTGCTTAACTCATGAATGCCATGTGCCCCTGGAGGCTGGGGGAGCACGGTGAGCTCCTGTAGGTGGTGGCAGCACTGTCAGCGGTGGGAGCGTGGTGGTGGCCAGTGGGGAGCTCCCTCAGGCAGCTGCAGCACTGTCGGCGGTGGGGGAGGGGGCGGCGAGTGGTCGGTGACCATCTGCAGATGCCACTGGCAGTGTCAGCAGTCGCCAGCAGCAATCGCAGACTGCCCACAGGCACCGCTGGCGGTGTCGGCGGTGGGGGGGTGGCGAGCAATGATCACCTGCAGGTGCCACTGACAGTGTCGGTGGTGCCTTTTCACAGGGGGTGCACCACCACACTCAGTGAGTGCATGTGCACCCATGTGCACCCCCTACGCATCACCAGTGGCTTAACTCACCAGTTGTGCATGTCGCTTCTAATAGCCAATACAGAATTAGTTGAGGTGTTGTGTCTCTGCCACAGGCACAATTAACATTCTAGGCATTGTTCAGGTAATCCCATTTCTTGATGTTTACTTTACAGAAACTGACCCCTGTGGAAAGTCAGTTAGGGCATTATCTAACTATCTGTGAGAATTTCTGTGGCTTGCAGTTCAATCTTAGTACCTGCTGGTATCACTTGCAATCCAAGTTTAAGCATAGGCCATGTGCTCTTCGGAGATGAACTGCAAAGTTCCATGGAGGTAATAAAGAACTTTCACAATTTAACTCACCTAGCAACAGGCTTGTGATAACATAGAGGATGCTATGGGTCTGAAAGATCCATTGTACATGACTGGCCACTCTTTCTAATAATTGATTGGCATTGCATCCTCTTTCCAGATGCAATGCCAATCAATAGGTAAAGATTCTTTACATTGGTTAGTTTGAAGTAGTTGGCGATGCTTTGACAACATTCACTCAGCACTATGTTGAATTTTTTGCATGTGCAAATTTCTCCAATGCTGGACACACATTGTTCACTGACAAACAGCAAAAGGCCAGTATGGCTAACCAGAGTGTTAATGTACTGGCTCTCCACAGAGAGTTAGCCAACTTCCAGATGATATTACATTGTAAGTTCACTTTTACCTTGATCTTCTTGAAATGTACCATGTATGGAAAAATCACATCAAGGTGAACTAGGTCTGAGAAGTGGGCCACTCTTCTATTATTTCATACTCAATGTCTTCACATTCCGCAGGGTGAAGGCATAGTCTTAGTTAGCATCAGTTTACAGTTGGTTTTTCTTGTAGCATATTAATAAAGTTGCTAACTTTGTTATCAGGTAAAACACTTGCCTTGAGCTGTCACACAGAAGTTGTCTGCATATACGACATTTTTGGTACTTTGGTGAATTGGCCGATTGTTGGCATGTAGGTATTAAACAGCTTTGTGGGAGATCATTACGCTGTTGATGCCAGCAATTTTGCTTTCTATCTGATTCTAAAAAGAACCATTTGTTGTCAAGTGAAGTTCAAATGAGTTAACTGAGATACATATCTTTATTCATCTGCAATAATTTGGTGAGGAACTGTTGACTGATAGTGTAGCACGCTGCCGAGAGGTCTACAAAATACAGCTCCTATGATCAAATCTTTTTTGAAACCATCTTCAATATGTTGTATAAAATTGAGCAGCTGGCTTATGCATGATTTCTCTGTATGAAATCTTGCCTGCTCTTCAATTAGAATCTCATCACATGTTATTGCAATATGCTACACTATGAAGCTTTCAAACAGCTTATGTGTATAGCAGAAAAGTGAGACAAGTCAAAAAATTCTTCTTCTCCAGTTCGATCTGACATTATTGAAGCATACTTACCACCAGCATTTTTTAATCTTGTGAACATTAGTTGATATATCTGTATGATTAACTAGTTCCAATTTTCAGTCCAAAATATTTGAATTGTTTCTTCTGAATGACATCAAAAGTTGCTGTTTTACTTCAGTTAATTGATAGCTATCTTAAGGTGTGCCATTATGAATGGTTTGGTGGACCTGGGATTAGGATAACATTACAGGTAATGGTAAAAGGCATGTTGGTTGTCTATTCTTTTCAAGATAAGAGGTGAACCTCTTGGTTTGTTGCAGTGTTGTAATATCCCTTGCTTTCTTGAATCACTGCACATGTGCATATTGCAGCCCATGTCTTCCTGCTATTAAATGTCATAAATGTTTTCAGACAGTATCTGCCAAGGTTTTTGGCATTCCACCATCAAGGAGGACATCAGTTCTTCTCTCAGAGCAGTGGTATCTTCCACAAAAAAGATCAAAACTCAAATTCCTGATTGTGTTGTTCATGCAGGTCCATAATTTTTGGAGTCAGGCTGAGTATATATTTAGTTCTACAGCCTTGAGGAATATTCATACAGCATTTGTGAACCAGGCATATTTAGTCAGAGGTTCCATCTGCTCAATTACTGCATCATAATCTTCTGCAAAGCCCTGCCAGTCCTCCTTTTTGAAGCTGAAATGGTGATAAAATGGCATCATTTTCAGGGCTACAACTGCATTTATCTTCAAGCAAAAGGAACAATGTTGAAAGTGTAGGAATTTTTCTACATGATCTCACTAATTTAGTTTTAAAGATCATGAGGTCTGGGTTGTATCTTCATCCCCCGTTGAAGGAATTTGGTTGCTTTGTATTAGGCTGAGGTGTTGATTTTTGCCATTCATTTTGGTTGCTATCCATGACCTCAAAGAATATTGTGGCAATTGAAGTTGCCAGTGACTGCCCAGTACTTGTCATAGCTAATGTTAATGGATCAGCAAGAGCAACATTTTTGCCTGCTGGTTAAACATGACTGTGCTTCTGGCTAAATAAGTTGACAGGATCTCAATGATGTCATTGTCAATGATGATACCAGACTAGATAAGCATGGTGCTTCTGTATTATTTGTATGGTCTTTCAATGGTTAGCTCTATTTCTGGTATGCGGGGTTGGCGCCTGCTAGCTCCCTAACGTACTTCTTGCAGGCATACAATTTAGCAGTCAGATTCAGTGAGCAGGTTGTGATTAGGTCACACTTCACTACTGTAAGCCTTTAACATTTACAGACATGATTGCCAGTACTGGCACACCAATGATTTAATGCCTACGCTATTAATGCTTTACAAGTAGATGGCAGAATAATTTGGAAGTAGTTTGAAATTTAAAGTCTCTTTATAATAATATAAAGTAAGATACTAAAACCACTTATGTCTATTATGAATATATATTTTAAGATATTTGGCATTCCTATAATAAAAAAGAAATCTTTGTTTCCCACAGAGTTAACCAGCATAAATGTCACCACTTTAAAAATGAGATGCTCACTATCGTCTTCTCAAAAGCCATATTTGGACCTTGATCCTGTGAACATATTACCAAGTGCAGTGCTTCTGGCTGAACAAACTCAGTGGAAAAAATATAAAATAGTAATAAGACTGCTCAAGATTTTAAGTGCTATGATCAGCAGTGTGTTTGCAAGATTATGTTTGCTTCCTCTCTGCCTTCATTGTTGCTTTATAATCCATTTCATATATAAGTTCGGCCTAGCAGACAGAGCCTTGGAGTGATTCTCAAGCAACCTGAGTACTATTCTCAACAAAGCCAGTAGCCTGCTGAGTAAGCCTAAGTTATTTTGCCTCTATATGAATCAGTTTACACTTCTGCAAAATGAAGATAATAATGCTGAAAACCTTCATGAAGTGTTTCTTATTATTTATAATGTTCCTGCTCAATTGTATAATTATATAGCTTTTGGCCTAATTCCTTGAGGTTTCACTGAGACTGAGTGATAATTTAGTAATAATTTAATACTGAGTGAGTGATAATTTGCTTTTATTATCAACAGCTCAAGTAACACATTTATACATGTATATAGCAAATCTTTTAATTGAAGCAGGTGAAATTATTTGTCCATCATCAGTACAGGACAAATGTCTAACATGGAGGAAAAGGGCCGTTTTCCATTTCTTCTATTCTGCCTTGTCTTTTTATTAAGGAAAGATCCATACAAAGAGTTGAGAGGAAAGAAGCATAGACTATGTGAAAGGGTTGGCCCCAAACAGATTTACATTGTTTCCAGCCCCCTCCCCACCTGCCCCCCCTGGGTTAAATATGTATGAAAAAGTTATTTTATTGGAAAAGGATTAAAAGTATCCCAATCCTAAAGATTCAAAATCTTCAGTCTCCAATAATCATGAAAACTTTTTTGAGAGCTAGCAAATTTTATGTTTTTTTTATTTGCTTTCTGATTTTTCTTTTTTAACCTTTAGGTTTCTCCATGACTACAAGATCTATACATATATTTAAAGGAATGGTAAATTCTGGTAAACTGTATGACTCCAGGAGTTTGGGTTGAAAGGAAAATAGGAAAATATCACAAGAATTGGCAATACTGAGATATTCACACTGAGATAGTAAGTAATCATGTCTCTTAGATTGTACTGTAACGGTTAACAATCATCTGCTGTCAACAGTTTTAAAAGATTCATCTAAAATGTGAAGCATTGGGAAAAAAATCACATGTTAAAGTTAAAAGCTTCTAATCTTTATAAGGGCAGAAGAAAATGAACTCACCATTATTCACCAGGACATGGAGTGGACAATTCTTTACTCTAAACTGTTGTACAAATTGCTGTATGGACTTCATAGAAGCCAAATCACAGTGTATAAACTCCACTGAAAAAAAATAAGAGAAAAAAAAATCTAGTGAAGTCAGTTACAGTAAAATAATTTACCCAGTATGACCCAAAATCTTCAATTCTCTTTTACTGACAAAAGGATTGTTAACAAGTTGGACCATTCTTTTTAAGTTCACTTTGATATATACAGGTTTCCCTTGCTTTATGCTGTACATGCACTCCTGGAAAATGGCACATAACTCAAATTTGCATAAAGGGAACCCACTTTACAATGTAACAAATAAGGATACATTCCAAGACCATGACTGTACTGACCCCAAGACCCATTTCTACCACTTTTACAAGACAATTTTGGTACTCACCAACAGCAGACAGTATACACAAGCACAGGGCATAATGGGGATGGCAACTATCATAATAGGGATGGCAACTATAGAAACATGTCACAGACGATGAGCAAGAAGCACAGATCCACACAAGAGACCATATTTTGGTGTGCGTCACTTCCACAGTGCACCACACAAAGCAGCTAACTGCGGGCTTCCATCACACTGATTGCTTAAGAGTGAATTTACCTCTGATATAATTAATTTTTGGTATAAAATGGGTCATCACATAAGAGCGAATTCACACATACAGAACCCACATAAAGCAAGGGAAACCTGTAGAGATTCTTCAAGGGATGTTTTCTTTTCTTTTCTTTTATCTTCTTCCTCCTCTAACTTTTTGTTGCTGTTGTTGCTCTCTCTCTTCACAAATAATAGGAATGACAAGTATGGTCTTCCATGGACTTGCTAATTTATCTGTTGAAGATCTTAGGTTTGAGATCTCATAGCAAATATGAATTGAAAAGTTGTTGAATCTTCAGCAAAACCATCTGCTATTCAACATATTAGTCAGACATAGAAGCTAACTGTTACAAAATTAACAAACAATGAAAAGCACAATAATGCCCCCTCAAGAGCCTTAAAATGGTTTAATTAAAAAAATTCCCCCCCCGCCCCAACTATTCAAATTCCAGGCTGAATTCTCTTGAACATTGTATGGAAAACAAGATAAGGGATTGCATTGTGAAAAACACACACTCATACCCCTCTACACCAACATTTAAATAATCAGTTGTTAAAATATGAACATTTCAGGTATACAATGAGATATAGAATCATAGAAAAGTAGAGCTAGAAGGGACTTCATAAGGTCATCTAGTCAAATCCATTTGTTCGAGGCAGGATCATACCCAACTAAACCATCCCAGCTAAGTGTCTAACTTGCTCTTCAAAGTTTCCAAGGGTGGAGATTCCACAACTTCTCTAGTAGCCTGTTCCAATGCTTGACCACCCTCATAGTCAGAAATTTCCTCCTAAACTCCAACCTAAATTTCCAATTGCTCCTAGTCCTGTCCCTTATGACCACAGAAAAAAGCCCATGTCCATCCTCTCAATAATTGCCCTTCAGCTTTTGAAGACTTATCAAATCTCCCCCCAGTCTTCTTTTGCAGGCTAAATAACCCTATTTCAGTCTTTCCTCACAATTTTGTCTTCCAGGCCCTGATCATTTTTGTCACACTGTGTTGGACTCTTCCAAATTGTCCACATCCTTCTTGAAGTGTGGGGCCCAAAACAGGACACAGAACTGCAAGTAATGCCTCACCAGTGCTGAATAGAATGAAAGAATCAATTCCTTGATTAGGAAATTACACTCTGGGTAATACAACCCAGGATGCTGTTGGCTTACTTTCAAACAAGAACACACTGTTGACTCATAATCAGCTTATGGTCTACTAGAACCCTCAAGTCTTCTCTGCAGTAGTGCAGCCTAACCAATCATTCCCCAGTTTGGATTTGTGCATGCAATTATTCCATCCCAAATGCAGGACTTTGAACTTGTCCTTGCTGAATCTCATCTGATTGATTGCATAAAATTTCTTCAGTCTACTCAGGTGATTATGGATCCTACCCCCACTCTCTAGAGTACCTGTAATTTCACCTAACCTGGTGTCATCTACAAATTTGCTAAGGGTACACTCAATCCCATCATCCAAATCATTAATGAAGATATTGAACAATACTGCAACCAGGACAGACCCCAGGAGAATCGCACCTGATATCTCCTCCCAAGTAGACATTGAGTCATTTATGAGTACCTGTTGAGCACAATGATCTAAACAGTTATATATCCACCTTGTAGTATTTTCATACGGTCTCTATTTCCTGAACTTTTTTATGAGAACTTGGTGAGAAACAGTGTCTTGCTAAAATTCACTGCTCTCCCCTCATCCACAGAGCCTGTCACCTTATCATAGAAGGAAATCAGGTTGGTCAGGAATGATTTGCTCTTGGTGAATCCATGCCGTTTGATCCTCATTCACAATGGATTCCTTGAGGACCTACTCTCCATGATGTTTCCAGGCATCAAGGTCAGGCTGTCTGGTTTGTAGATCCCCAGATCCTATTTCTTTTCTTGCTTGAAGGTGGGCACTATATTTGCCCTTTTCCAGTCATTTGGAACCTCGCCCAACTTCTATGAGTTCTCCAAGAGCATAGCCAATGGCTCTGAAATTACTCTAGGTTACACTCAGCCATTTTCTTCAGTACTCTAGGTTGCATCTCATCCAGCTCTGCTGATTTTAAAGCATCTAGCTTCTCCAAGTATTCTCTAACCTGTTCTGCCATTATTTTAGACCAGGGATGTCACAGATCTGGTCATCCAAGCCTGTGCTGCCCATTGGTCTTGAAAGTGACCCACAAGCAGCATGTGGGCCCTGGTGGATGGCCTGCACACCACATGCAAAAGCCACTCTGGCCACACTTCATGTGGTGCCTGCCCTAACGCACCTTGGTTCCATCCCGGAATGGCTGTCACACACAGCATGGCCCCACAGCCCTAGAACAGCACTGTGTGTAGCACAGTCCCACAGCAGACAATGGCTAGTGTGGGCAGCTGAGACCTAGAGCACCTGCCACATGCAGCACGGCCCCAAAGTCCTAGGGTGGGCACCACATGCAGTGTAGCCCTGGAGTAGCAGAGGGGCCTCTGTGTGCACCATGGCCCTGCAGCCCCAGAGTGGCCAGAGCAGGACTGGGCTGCACATGGCATCCACTTTAGAACATGTGCTAAATCTAGCATGCAAGGCTGGTTGGTGGGTTTAATCCAGTCAGCAGACTGGACCCATGTTATTCATACGGCCCATGAGGCCAGATAATTTGACACCCCTACTCTAGACTGTTTGTATCTCCCTTCCCTATCTTTGCCACCAGTTCCATTCATCATCTGGTAGCTGCCCCTATTTGTGAAAATGAAAGTAAAACAGGCATGTACTCTTCTCTGAATCATCTATAACTAGACTGCATTCTCAATTCAGTAAGGAACCTATAGTTTCTCTGGTCTTCCTTTTAATTTTGACATATTTGTAGACTGCCTTTTTTGTCCCTTGTCAGCTGCATCTCAAATCATGTCTTGGCCTTCCTAATTTTATTCTTGCATGCATGTGCTATATTGCTACACTCTTCCCTAGAACTATGACCAGCTGAAACCAGGCTGGTCTCCAGTCTAGCAAGGCTAGTTTCCCGTTACATATGCCTTCTATTACCTCATCCTCCCTCCCATTGTATTGGGATAATTTGCTCCTGCACCCTAAGATGATCCTCTTAAAGTACAGCTAGCTTTTCTGAGGCGTGTCTACACAAGCTATTAATGCACAGCAATAAACTCTGATACATATCACACTTGAGTTTATTGTTCCCAGGGGCACCATTTGAAGATCCATCCAGGACCACAGCAAGTTGAACTGGATCAGAACAGCTCTGGCTGGCAGGGGACCCTGGGGCTCAACCTGCCACCCCAGGGCTGCTTCTGGCTGTCTCAACATGCTGTGCTGTGCACGAAAATGCTTCAGTATGGGGATAGCCAGCGAGCAGCATCTACCTGTGCATCTGCACGTGCATTGCTCCACATGAAAAAACTCTGTACCCAGATTGTACTTGTATTTACAAGTTCTAACCTGAAGTAGAGTTTATTAGTTTCCTGTGGGCTAATAGGGCTGCACATATAGAGGCCAAAGTGTTTACTGCAGAGCTAAATTAGGCAGCTCTGCAGTAAACACCTCACGTAGACACGTTCCTGGACTCCTTTTCCTCTCAGGACTTGCCTATGAGGGGATCCAACCTACCAGTTTCTTATATTTGTTAAATTATGCTTTCCTAATGTCCAGCATCCTTATCCTGCCACGCTCCTTCCTTCTTCTGCTTAGGATCTTGAACTCTACCATTTTGTGGTCACTGTCACCCAAGTTACCTTCCATCTTCACATTCTCAATCAATTCCTTCTTCCTTGTGATTGTTAAGTTGTGAAGAGCTTTCCCCCCTAGCTGGCCTCTCTACCATCTGTATCAAAAAGTTTTTCCCAACACACTCCAAGAATTTGCTGAGCTACTTGTGCACTTCTGTGTTTTCCTCTCAGCAGATATCCTGATAATTGAAGCCCCCCATGAGAACTAAGCCCTGAGATCTGGTAACGTCCATCAACTGTTTAAGGGAGGCCTCATCCACCTCTTCCTCATGGTTTGGAGGCCTGAAGCAGATGCTCACTATGACCTCCTCCCTGCTTCACTTCCCTCTGGCCTTTACCTAGAGACTTTCAATAGGCCTACCTTCCACTTCATACTGTACCACTGAACACATGTACATTGCCTCTTCTGTTACCTCATATGCAACAGGCTCATGATCCTTCCTTCCTAACAGGCAGCTTTTAAAGAGCCATAGAGCTTTCACATATGCTTTTCGTAAGTTTTAATTAAAACAAAGAAACAGGACTTAAATGATTTTCTGTAAAGTACGTGGTCTTTCTTCTCTTGTCTAGTTTAAGACAAAACAATCCTTACCAATGCTATTAGAAATGACTAACAAACACACCTTTCCCTCATCTTGGCCTGCCCCTTTCTCCCCTCTCCACCCACAAGTTGCTCATTTCAGCCAAAGGTTTTATGATACCATAACATAGGTTCTGACATCTCTACTGGTTGTCTGTACTGAGTGCATA